GTTTTTTAGTAAAAAAAATATACTAAAAATAGCTTTTAAGATAAAGCTTTTTCTTATAGGTTAATTCTCTCTCTCTTATAATAATAATCTTAGAAAGTATAATATATTAATTAATACCCTTTTATACTTTATAGCTTTTAGGATAAAGCTCTTTCTATAATAATAATTTTAAAAAGCGTAATATATTAATTAATACTCTTTTACGCTTTATAGCTTTTAAAATAAAGCTTTTCTTATAATGGTAATCTTAAAAAGTATAATATATTAATTAATACCCTTTTATACTTTATAGCTTTTAATATAAATATAGCTTTTTCTTATAAATTAACTTATAATAATAATTTAAGAAAGCGTAATATATTAATGAATACTATTTAATACTTTATAGCTTTTAAAATAAAGCTTAGCTCTTTCTTATAAATTAATTTTCTTTCTCTTTATTATAATAATAATTTTAAGAAGTATAATATATTAATTAATACCCTTTTCTTTTATATAAAGTATATTAAGCCCCTTCTTCTCTTTATAATAAAGTATAATAATTAATTAATTAATTAAGTTAAGTTAAGATATAAGTTAATTACTTTCTCTTTCTTTTTCTCTTTCTCTTTCTTTTCTCTTCTCTTATAATTAAACTATAAGAAAAAGAGAGAGAAAGGTATAAGCTATTACTTACTTATATATTTATATATAAACTTATACTTAATTATAAAACTTATAAGTAACCCTTACTTCTCTCTTCTCTCTCTCTTTCTCCTCTCTTTTTTCTCTCTCTTAACCTTTAAAGAGCTCTTACTCTTAAGCTAAGTAACTCTTAATCTTAATAAAAAAAAAAAAAATTTTTTTACCGCTTACTTAATTAAGTGAGCTTATATAACTGGTAATTAACACGCCTTAATAGCTAGCGTGGTAGCCTAAGCGCTCGCCCCCACGGCACCACGGCAGAACCCCGCTCACCGCCTGGAATCCGGCGCTAACTACCGCGCACCTCGTGGTTAAGGGGATAACCGCGACAACTTAGAGTTATAACCTCTCTTAAACAAAATCCCCTCAATGTAAGGTCTCCGAGTTTCCTCAAGCGGACGGGAATTTAGTGGCCCTGTATTAACGCCGTCATTCAGCTTTATCTTCAAATAGATGTGACCTGGACTCTGTGTGAGATGACTCGACAAAGGCTTATGTTTAGGAGTATTTATAAGTGATCTTTGGACGAATTATCGGCCGCTCATCTAGCGTACATGTAAGCCGAGAGTAAGCACCGGCGATTCCTACCCTATAATAGTTTTACTCAAGTCTGCGCCTCCGCTTGGGAACTTGACTTGCGGCTGAGCAACCGCAACCTAGCGTCCTAATCTTCGTCAACATTGTTGTGTTCCTCTACTAGTCAAGGAATATTGATCTCCTCTTACTAATTACTAGGGGCCACAGAAAGTTCCCCCTCACACGCCTTGATCTGCAATGTCAAAAGCAGCGAATATATCCTACACAAGGCCAAACTACCACCCATATACCAGAATCCTGGATGCCCACTATATCGCCACATCTACGTGCTCATTAGCATTATGGTTCGCATCCAGAGTTTGTGCTTGTTGGAGGCACACTTACTGCGTTCGACTCCCCCTCATCCTTGAGATCCCTCACATTATAAAGCTGCTCGGCAACCTTGTCTCCAAATATCTTGCGGCGCCGACGTGCGCATGTTATCGTACCCCGTTGCAAGAACAACTACATCAGCGGGCAACGTTGACCCGTCCGCCAGCACCAAGCCGTTCTCATTGAATGCCCTGATTCCGCCGCGGCTCCGGCATACTTTGACTTTCCCGTTGTCAGCGCTTAGTTGAACGATTAACATTGATGAAAACATTACCAGGGCCTTATGCTTACTCTGTATCTATTGCGCTAAATGTCCCCAATCCGATCATTCTTGTCGATAATGGGCGTCGCTACACCTTGCTGCCCGAGTCGAGCACCAACATCCAATCCAGATTGTCCTTGGCCACACTCCGTCAGTACACGTCGGGGAATAAATGATGCCAAATACATACCTGCCCCGAAAACAACTACCTCAGGATCCTCAACCAAAGACTCTTTCTATCCCTCCCTCCTCTCCTGCCAATTCCCGGATCCATCGAGAGAGTTGCTCCCACCATGCGGTCTGTTGAGATGTGTAGTCTCATCAAACGTTTTTAGCTTCTGCAGCATGAAACCAATCATGAACACCTTCCAGATTCCAGCGTCATTGACTAGTCGAACAATAACCGATCCAAATCCCACCTTGGTCTTGAAGTCAAACATGGCCTCAACCCATTCGACATCGGGTAATTGATTCAGTTTTGGTTGGAAAGATCCCGATTTGCGGAGTTGAATGCTTTTTAGGCTAGAAGGCGTGAGGTGGCGCTTTAAGTAATTTATTATCTTATCCCGGCTATTGAGAGTACGAAAGTCCCATGATATAGCAAGCAGGTCTCTCATCCAAGCATCCCTATGAATCAGTGACTTTAACGTGATAGAATCCGAGCTGTTAATACCTCGTTCAAGCCTTGGACTCAGGTCTCAATAGTGGCATAAAATTCGCGTTCGGACAACTTGACGGCATCCTCGCACCACAGGCATGGGAGTTTGACAAGGCGCGGATCGGCAGTGCTACCCATATCCTGTTCGATATATTATTACAAAGCGATAATGCAAACAGAACAGGGAAACCACCAATAACGGTTGCGATGGATGAAGTTGGTTCAGATTATGCAGGAGATGGGATTTCTATGTGATAGCATTTGTCGGGAGGCAAGACTCCGAGCCGTGGCGTCCGACTTCGGGAATGCAATGCACCTCGATTGTTCGGGGTGAGACGCGACCTTCCCCTCTTTGGGCACCGCCGTGCAAGTAAATACATGCATTTTTGGATCCTGAAGTAATTATCCGATCAGAATAGCTCTCATCTGGATCGATGCGGACGAGAAGACGCGTCATTGATGTCCAGTACGTATGATTTCAGACTTGGTCGTGTTCGAGGCGATATTACCCAACTAATAGGCGCCGAAGTAAAGAGTCAATATCACTCGATATCTTCATATAAAACAGGTGGAAGGTGAACTAAGCAAGGCAGCAACTGCGGAAGAACCTAGAGTCAACGCGCTTGATCCTGTATCTCTCGAAAATGAAATGACATACTATTTCCCATATAAATGAGAGAATTGGCCATTTTCACTCCACCGATGACTTCTTCTCATTATGGACTCTCCTATACCAATTCTTTCTTGGATCGTTTAAGCATTCCCCTACCGTGACCGACTTGAATCCATTTTTAAACAGCGACTTGAGCATATGCTCCGTCAGGTTGTATACCGACTGATACACTATGTCATGCTCAATGTCCAGCCACTTCGTATTCTTGGGGTCTTTCCCCTCGACATTCCTATCCCATATGTCCTTTGACTTTTGAATCTCATCTGGAGAGTCATGCAAGTACCCCTCAGTATCGAGATTGAAGTATGTGACATGGTACCCTAGTTCACCCAGCCGTCGGTCGACTTTGTCGCTGCTTGCCGAGTAAGGCGGACGAAAATACGTTGGGAAGTAGCCGAGGATGTCAGCCAGCGCAATTTCATTGTAGAAGATTTGGTTGTCTAGCTGTGTGTCGCTGATTTCGGGAAGACGCTGATGTGACCATGAGTGGCTGCCAATTTGGTGGCCTTCATCGACCATGCGCTTGATGAGGTTGCGCCAGGGAAATGCGGCATCATTGATGGCACCTTTGCCAAGATTTCGGCCAGTAACGAAGAATGTTGCCTTGGCTTTGTATCTCTTCTCCATGTTAGTAATCAGACCTGATCAGGTGTCTATATGCGTGGCATCGGTTGAGAGGTAGTGGCATGCCTTGAGCAAGTTTAGCAGATCAGAAGTGTACTGATACGGCCCATCGTCGTATGAAAGCGCAATCACACCATATTTTTCGCAATGGTAAACCCCCTGCCCGTATGGAACCAAACCGTACTTGGATCGATCGACATGCTTCGTGTCTGGACCACTCGGGCGAATGTTCCCGTCGCAACTATCGGAAAAGTCGACCTGGCACGCGGGAGACGAGCAGTATTCATCCCCCCTGCCGCACCATCTAGTCCTCAAGACAGAAAACAATGTTAACAGCAGTCCAAGAGTGAGTTGAAGGCAAATGTGAGTCGGTACTGACCCTTCCATCGAGCAGCAGTATCCTTTGGGACAGGATCTTCTCCCTTGATTAATACCGCATCGACCGTCTTGCCCAGCTGATAGGCCACCGAATGTTGAATGCCCTTCTATTGTTTGCTTTTCGCCGTCCATCTGCTCGCCTATGAACCCGAACCTAGTTGCGACCGTGGCTTGCGCTGCCGCAAATACAATTAAAAAAGCAACCTCAAACTTCATTTCGTACTCTGAGCGTAATGGAGGTTGTGAAGCTGACTGCCTGGCGGAAGCCTGAAACTATACCGCTCAGATGTTGCTGTTCTGTGGCGAACTATCCACCAGGGTTTACAATAAAGGGCGAACCACTGATTCTATAAATACTGTAGGTTGTAAATGACGCGTCCCGCATGGGAACAGACAATGCGCCGTCAACCCTCCAAAAGTGCGTAGCACTGCATTTGGCTTCATTTAGTTTCGTGGCTGCTATCAGGATTGCAGTGTGCGCTCGACCGACACTGGTGCGTAGTACGATGCCTGACCCGATAACTCACAGCATCGTGTCGCGAGGCACAAAACGATGCACAACATTATATTACAGGTAATAAAACGTACCATCCACCTACAATACGTTGTGCAAACCAGTTGACCCCGGGTAGGAAAAGATGTAGTACAGCATGTGAATACCTCGTGTAATCCTGACCCGGTGGTAGCACGCAACAAGCTCCGATGCAATGATACGTGTTTCTCGCAGCATAGTACGAGATGAGAGGCCGGATAGGCGCCATGGACGAAAACGCTTGTGCGCAATGGCGAAGTCTTTCAAAAGAGTCGAGAGGACCAAGCCTTGCCTTGCATTTAGTCTACGCGTCCGTTCAGGAGAATGTCTCCTCATTTCAGCCCTCAAGCTCGAAATTGCTAGCTTAATGTACACGTGGTGGATAATGTATCAAGAAGTACTCATACGAGGCACGATGCAATAAATAGCCGGAGGCTCGTGTGCGACCTGACATCCAATCAATCGAATTGACGCGGTGGAAGCCGCATGGCCCGTCGCGTTGATGGGGTGGCTGGGGATCCTAAACAATCGCTGGCACCACATACGTTTCTATCGTGTAGTGTATCGTGTGTGTATTGGATTCGAGTCGTGTTTTTTTTTTTTTTTTTTTTTTTTTCCGGGCTACTATTGGCGCTCATCTGTGACGCAAGGCAAACGAAGCTCAAGCACAATTTTGAACTAGGGGCTCACATGTATGCGGAACTGCATTCTTCATTATAATATGTATACACGCCTAGCCGTGCGGATAATGTGGAAAGAGTCTGTTTTCGGCCAGAAATTTCGCAATCGAGTTTGAGAACAAGAAATAGGAATACTCCGTATCGCCGTCCTGTGAGCTGAGCTGAGCAATTACTTCTCAAACAGTCGAACAATTGCCAACTCACGAGGCCCCTTAGTAGCTTGGGCTCTATGGGAGAGTGTTTCAATCAGAAGTGTTTGCTTTCAAGTCAGTTTCTAAGTTGCCGTCCCTCTTGTCAAGACCCGATGATAAGGTATTGTGCTCGGGCTTGAGAAAGCATGGAGCTAGTACACTTAAATGATGTATAGGAATTTTGGTAAAAATAAAAGGGCATATTAAACGAGACAGCATGGAACTAGTGCGAGGCCAGAGGTGGCAGTGCCAAGCTAATTAGGATCCGCCAAAAAATTAAATGCTGTAAAGCTCCATGCTGACTAGTTTGGTCTGGCAAGTTTGTTTTAGGCATCGATGGTTCCTTTGGGATTGTTATTAATGATTGATAAGCCGCCGCTCGGAACGAAACTACTGGTAATCGGGGCCCTAGTCTGGTGTGTTTATTATACAAAAGCTGAGTGTCTCAATGGAAGCGCGGTTAATCTAGAACAGGACGATGCAATCAAATGGAACCATTTCCACCATGGAAGAGGTTTTAATGGGAAATAACAACCTGGAAAACTATGGGGACGAGTCAGGCGCGACGGCAAATCGTTGTGGATAGAGGAAAGTGAGTGGTCCTGACAAAGGGGATTTTTTTCTTTCTTCACAACTCGCATTGCTCGTTGATTCCGAAAGTCAAAGTCAAAACATGTTAGCGGTTCATGATGGCGGTTATGATTGCTATATTCGGACAACTCATGGTGACTAGTTGCTTGTCCCCGCCGGCCATGCCGAATACTCATGCGTCGGACCTCCGGGTGATGAATGCAAGCGCAGCGATTGGCATCCCTGCGTGGCGCGCCCCAGCTCCTGCGCCGAGGAGTGTTGTTCTCAAGCTTAATTCGACGTTGGGCTTGAAGAGCGCAGGCCTCCGTGGCTTTTCATGGGGCAAATGGCGACGTGAGTGGCTGTTTGGCCCTGTCCTTGGCAGCGTCCAGGAGCCAATTAATCTCATCAGATCCATCTGATAAACAGGTCCACACCCCAGATCCATTTTTTTTCCCCATATTTAAAGAGTAAAAAGATAAAACGAAGAAGAACAGCCGTAGTTACCAGATGGAGGGAGAGGATCTCTGAAGCCAAGTCGGGAATATAAAATGGACCCTTATTGAGATGGCAAATGGAGAAGGAACAGGCAACGAGAGTGACCCCAGAAAGAAGAGAAAAAGAACCAGCAGGAGCATTTGGCCCATTGGCTAGGTTATGGGGACATGGTGAGTTACCGTCCATTTAAAGCAGCTCGGCCACTTTTCGGTGTCGAGCATGAGCATGAGCATGAGCATGGCAGGGATACGGGGGTTTGTGCATTCAACCCTAGTGTCCCAGCTCGGAAAGCATCGTTTCGTATCCCCTTCTGACCGTGGTGTATGGACATGGATCCTGCAAGATTTGCATGTAGTCGAAGGGCTGAACCGATGCAGACATTGCTGTCCAGCCCACGGAAATAATGATATAAGGCCATGAACGCCTCCACCTGTCTGCATGTTCGCTTCTCCCTTTATTCCATTCCTTGCCCCTTCCGCTTCCGGGGTGAGACATTGGCTTCAATGGTCTCATTCAGACATTGAATATTCGTTAATACCCGAGACATTGCACCCCAGACGCTCTCCAAGCCATTGCGCTTAGACTGGTTTGCTGGCACTAGCGTTGCAGCTGTTTCCAGCCATTATTCTTATTACCCACCAACTACAGTGGAAGGCAAAAAGCCGCTCTATACCTAGGTACCTAGGTAGTTGACTATAATACGCCAAGGTATATTAGCGTATACCTCGTCGGTGGGTGAATATATTCTGCCACAGACAGTAGCTTGGGTGCTGCATCCTGTCTTTATGTTCTTTCTTCGACTTCATTTCATCTGCCCTCAACTCTGCACCTACACATCATGCAGCCGCCCCTCAACACAGACAAAATGGGCAGCCGGCTTGAACCTGAAAAGGCAGCCGACCCCCCAAGCTCTGTTGCCAGCGTTGGCCAACATCACACACCACCAGCCACGGCTGCCGAGGCCGTCAAGGACATTACATCACCGGGCGTTGCTCGTGTCGAGGCCATCTCCTCCGTCACAACCAACTGGGACAGGGTCTTCATCTTCTTCGGCGTCTTCCTTGTCGCATACGCCTACGGCCTCGACGGCACCCTCCGCTACGCTTTCCAGCCCTCGGCGACCAACTCTTTCGGCAAGCATTCTCTCGCATCCACCATCAACGTTATTCGATCTGTCGTCTCGGTTGGCGCCCAGCCCACGGCCGCCAAGATTGCCGACGTCTTTGGCCGTATCGAGCTCATTTGCTTGTCCATCTTCTTCTACGTTCTCGGTACCATCATCGAAGCCGCTTCCAAAAATGTCGACACCTTTGCTGGCGGCAGTGTTTTGTACCAGATTGGCTACACCATGATTATTCTGCTGGTAGAAGTCATCATTGCTGATATAACCTCGACTCGCGCCCGTCTCTTCTTCAGCTACGTCCCCGCCCTGCCCTTCATCATCAACACCTGGGTAAGCGGGAATATTTCCGAGCTCGTGCTTCGAAAGAGCACATGGGAATGGGGTATCGGCATGTGGGCCATCATCTTCCCCGTGTGTTCCTTGCCTCTGATTCTCAGTTTGCTTGTTGTTTCTCGCCGTGCCAAGCGCCAAGGCCTGCTGGAGAACTACACGTCGTCATTCAAACGGCTCGGTTTCAGAAATTTTGCTCTCGAGTTGTTCTGGCTTCTAGACGTCATCGGCATCATTCTCATTGTTGCCGTTCTTGAGCTAGTGCTTGTTCCGCTCACGCTTGCGGGTGGCGAGAGCTCACAGTGGAAGTCGGCTCACATCATTGCGCCCATTGCCGTCGGCGTCGTATGTATTCCTGCCTTTGTCTGTTGGGAACTCAGGGCTCCGCACCCACTTGTTCCCTTTACCAACATGAAGGACCGTTCTGTCTGGGCTCCCATGGGAATCGCCATCTTCCTCAACTTTGCCTACACTATGCAATCTGATTTCCTGTGGACCGTCTTGATTGTTGCCTTTGACTTTTCCCAAAACACCGCCACCCGTGTGATTTCGCTCTACAGCTTCACCAGCGTCATCGTCGGTCCTCTTCTGGGCTTGGTTGTGTACAGAGTCCGCCGGCTTAAAATCTTTGTTGTCATTGGTACAATGCTGTACATGGTCGCGTTTGGCCTCTTGATTCACTTCCGAGGCTCTGCAAATGGATCTGCCCGGGCTGGTGTTATCGGTGCTCAAGTGGTTCTCGGGGTCGCGGGCGGCTTGTTTCCCTACACCACCCAGGCCTCATTGCAGGTCAATCTTAGACACGAGCACTTGGCCGTCATGACAGGTATCTATCTTGCGACTTACAACATTGGGTCTGCACTTGGAAACACCGTCTCAGGCGCCATGTGGACTCAACTGCTGCCCGAAAAACTCAATGAGAGCCTGAGCCCTATTAATGCCACCCTGGGTCCTCTGGCTTACAACTCGCCCTTGACCGTTGCACCGCTGTATCCGGTCGGCACCCCTGAGCGTACGGCCATGATCAGCTCATACCAATATATCCAGAGGCTGCTCACAATTACCGGGATTTGTCTTTGCGTTCCCCTCATCGTCTTTGGGCTCTTGCTCCGCAACCCTAAGCTGAACAACAACCAGACTCTTGCCAAGGACTCTGAAGGTGAGACCAAGACCGAAGTTGATTCTCGTGCATAATTTGACCCACGGATTTTTCTTTTCCGGTTTTTCTGAGCATTCTTTTTTAAGAGGCATTTTCTGTAAAAAGGGATGTTTTATTTGGTTGCTAATATTTAAGAGGGCCGCATTCTCATCGCGATTCGAACCTAAGTCTTGTAAATAGACTGGGCGTTTATTTTAATGGAAGATTCTCAGCCAATTGTCGTTTGACTATTCATGCGTGCATGAATATTGTTTTCGGCGCACCGGTACCCATGTAGTCTTGCTGAGGATTTAGAAATAGACAGCCATTCCAAAGACTTCCTGCGTAGGAGTCTATGGCACGCGGTACACAGCAAACGACCAGCTGCAAGTAATCATCAAAGGTTCAGGCATGTCTGTACGTTTTCTAATAGTGCGTAACGCGCCCGGGCAGACGCCACCTCAAAGCTTTGTACCACGACCATCCAGCGAAGACGGCTTAACCTCACTCGCCCACCTTTCATCGATGGTAAACTGCTCTCTTCTCGTCTTTTCTTTCCAACGGCGCCCAAACTTCTTTCTCTCCTTGCTCTGCCTGGCCAGATCTTCCCCGAGAAACTCGCCAATTGCATCCGCCGACTCTGCAACCTTTTCCATGGCCACCAGATGCCCGCAGTCGAGTACAGCCTGCCTCACACGGCCGGCCTCGGCGCCGCCACTACCCCCGACCCCGGTGCCCGTCCTCGCCATCTTCTCCTGTCGCCGGTCTAGCCGCAACATTTCAGACTCGTTCCCAAATATGTACAGCGTGCTGGGGCGCAGGTCCGGTACCCGCCGGAAGGCGTGTGCCGGCTCGGGCCGGTAAAACGGATACCCCGGGAATTCCTGCTCCCAAAGGGTCCCGGTCGACGATGGCGTCTGCCGACTCGGAGCGGTACGTTGGTCGCAGAAAGGTGAACAGCTCCTGGTGCTTCGTGGTTGTCAGCGTCGCCTGCTCGCCATCGGCTTCTGGGTAGAGCTCCGTGGGCCCCCGGCGAAGGCCGTACTTGACCCAGCGGTCCAGGACGCGCGGATCCCAAGCTTGGTAGAATTTCGTCCCCTTGAACTTGGACACTGCTTCTTGCGTGGACGGCCAGGCGTCACGGCGGCGTGTGGACAGGACGGCTGGTATGACGCCGCCGTTTTGCATCTGGATGACGGGTTCGATGAGGACCAGCGAGTCGAGGAGCCGCGGGTGCATCAGCGAAAGGAGACACCTTTTGACCGTTTTTCTTGTCAACCATCTTTTCATTTTTTCTGTTGTTGGGATTTGTGTGAGCAGCCCCTCCTTACAGTTGTGTGCCGCCCATGCTGTGGCGGATGCCGGCGATGGCGTGCCGGATGTCGTCTTGCTTCGAGTTGATCAGGTTCATCAAGTCTCTGGCGTGGTCGAACCAGGACGCTGGAAAAGCGTGAGTCTGACAGTACTGAAACGGTACGCATTGAGGGGTGAATTTTTTTTTTTTTTTTTTTTTTTACGATCGGTCATTGCCTAGCATCTTTTCGTTGAGCACCCCGGACTGGCCTTGGTTCCATATGTCCGCGATCCAGATCGACCTGATGCGGATGTTCTTCCACAACAGCCGATCGTACACCT